GAGAGTTTGTGTTCTGTTGTGGCTGTATTTTTTTTTTTAAATCAAGCAGAGTTAAGGATAATCGCTTGTGGTATACATAAGTCAGAGTGCATTGATGAGTGTGTACTATACATTTCTGATGTTTAAAAATACGAACACTTAAAGTACATCTACTAATTATATCGATCGTATAGAAAGAAAAGGCCTACGAGTTAGTGAAAATAATTCTGAAAAAAAATTCACTTTAAAAAAGTATTCTTTTTTTTTTTTCAAGGCAAATTGCCCAACAGAATAAATCTACATTAAAGGTCCCTCCTAGATGAATTGAGTTCCCTGGTGTCACACAAGCAGTGAAAATTTACACTGGTACTCATGGGCAGGAACTTGGGACCAGTAGTGCCAAAGGGATAAAATAAAAGCCAATATACCAAAGCAAAGATTCAGTTAGAATTTCTGCGAATCTATCCATAATATTTTTCTGGGAATCTACAAAAGCATAAATATGATTACACCTTGGGGATGATGTGGGGGAGGCTGGGGAGGTGCCTCAGGTAAACTTAAAGGGGAAAGGAGGAGTTGTTTGTACTTTGCTGTTTTTTTGGCCCCACCCTTGCCAGGAAAATTAGTCTTCTGGCTGACTGTTCACTGTAAAAAAAAAAATAAAGCAAGTGAAAAAGGAAAGAAAATCTGCAAAATGGAACAAATCCCTGGAAAACCCCAAATGGCAATTTTAAAAGCTAGCATGATGAAGGGGGTACCTTAGCTTGAAAGTTCCTTGTCACAATGCAAAAAGACCCCCTTGTCCTGAATGTCACTGCCTTTTGCCAGAGTAGACTGTTTTTATTTATTTCTTTTAAAAGGAAGGAGAAGACAACAAACACGATAAAAAAAAATTAACTGAGGATATTGTCTCTTTTTTCCCTCTTACTCAAACCTCTAGGATGGTAAAGGCAAAGTCATTTAAATCATTTCCTTAGTAATACAAGTAATATTTAAATAGATTTAATAGTGCTGCTCCAAACCAATGAATTATGAGTTTAAAACCTATTAAAATGTAATGTTTTTTTCCTGAGCTGAGGGGAGAGAGATTTAAATCCACTGAATTTTAATATTTCAGCTTGAGCTGCAGGAGGTAGAGAAAGTCCAAATGAACTATTCCATCAGCACCATTCAAGCATGAACATTTTAATCAGTTTTACTTCCTTGGAGTTCTCTAACACAGTTTACGCTGTCATTCTGAAAGCACTTAACACAGAGAGTGTGAAAAACCACCAAGGCTTGTTATTGCCTTCACAATTGATGGCAAATAATTTTGCAGACTTCCTATCATTAAAATGTCACTGCTAAAAATTGAGGTTCAGCATTTCTTGTGCTAAACTGCATTTCCCTTGAACACCATCACATACCTGTTCTTAAGAGTTGGGTTTCTTTCTCTTTTTGGGGGGGAGAGCATATTTTTCCCTCCTCTCAGAGGTAAATGGGCAAAAAAAGCCCCAAAAGAAACCCACATTTTTCTCTACCATAAGTCAAACATTTTCCTTGTCAATGTCCATGCTAAAGTAACATGGCTTTTAAAACGGTAGATCTTTTGGTGAAATTCTTATGAGGTTTTGAGCTGTCTCTCATATTAGGCAAAACCATATTCATAGCAGCATGTGTTGATCATATAGTGTAATGGATTAAAAAAAACATTTTAAGATAGTCAGATGACTCAATTTAATAATACAGGAAATGAAAACATCATTCCTAATTAGATCATATTACTGATTTAAAACTACAATTTGTGTGTTGTTCCAACAGAGCGATCTTGCAGAGACTCTAATTTAAAAACACAGTAGCTAGTAGGACACAGGGCAGACCAAGCCAGATGTATATACGTTCTCTACCCCAACATGAAAAACATAAGGGGTGGGGGCGACCATCATTGTACAAGTAGAATTAGGCCAATTCAAAATAAAGCACAAAATTTTAGTCATTGCAAACAAATCTTAAGAGATATTTCCTGGGTTGCTTTTTTTTTTCTTATAAGTAAAAGCTACATGATATTTGGCTTGTTTCAATCTATCAACAGTTTTAAACTGAACACGACCTGTGAAAGAAATCATTATAACTAGTGTCTCGTTCCATTAAACACAACTAGCGTATTGTCAAGAGGACAAGCAGTCTCTCCAGGTTCCAGGCTCACTCCAGCATTCGGCATTTAAACTGCATGGATCACTGACTGGGTTCATTTACCAATGAAGGTAGAATAATATTGCAGAGCAAAAATGGTGCTTCATCAGATTTCATTAAATCTGAGTACATTTAAGCTTATGTGGGATGGTGTGCAGACAGAGCTGAAAAGATATGTGCTTTTCCCCTAAGTACATATGTCTTCACATCATAGATTAACCCTTTGTAATTCCTTTTATTTACTAAGTGCCACATATTCTATTCTTATAGAGAAATAAAAATCATGCCAAATTATCCCTACATACTTTCTAGCAGAAGATCAAACACTACCACTCAAAAAAGAAATTTAATATATAAAGAGAAAAGTACACCCAGCTAGAGTAGGAGGTGCATTGAAAATTCCAGTGTTACAAGAGTAAGTATATGACACACTAGAAATAATGACGTTTTAAGGCACAAATGGCACAATTAACAACAACCTCAATAAACTCACAAGTTCATTTTAATTAGGCCCCAGCGTGTTGTAGACTAACCTAGATTTATTTCAGTTTCTTCATTCTTTTCTTCCAAAACAGTCTGACTCCATGATTTGCATTCCACTTTCTGTTTGTGTACAAACACCCCAAATTTCCTACTAGGTCCATAACTATAACACATGCTGCTCCAATAACCTGTTACTCAACTGAGACATTTCTCAAATAAAATTGGGAGGGGGAGGATTAAATTAGCTTCATTTAAACAGATAATCCACAGACAATAAGTTCGACAGAAATACTGTTAGGTATCAAAGAATTGTACACTTAGACAAAACAAACTGCCACTTCATGTACAACTAAAACACTGGAAAATGAGGTAAATGTTTGCGTATGTATGTATAGATGTATGCATGTGTATATATATGTATGTATTTATATGTATAAGTACTGAGAGAAATGTGTGAAGTCATAAAGACAATTACATCTCATTATTTATTCCTGTTTTCATCTATTTTTTAATGCAACAGTCAACATGAAAATAACCTACATGCATACTTTGGTAAATATGCAATCAATTACCCAGAAAAATACTCTAGAAATTATATCCCTCCCCAAAAAACCCTGAAAATTAAAAAAATAAAATAAAATCAGAAAAAGCAGCCACTATGGCCCAGTCCACACAGGTTCTACATTTTAGTGGTTCAACAAAGAATGAACCCAAAGTTCAAAGCAATCCAGTAACCTCCCATATGTGCAATCACAAATCAATAGCTGACATTATTATAGTAGGCTCACATCCCTTCTGATCCATGTGACATTTGGTAACAAATATCTAAACAGCACCAATACCCACATAGTCAAACATACTACTTATCTATAGACATATTTTTAAAACTCCAACCTTAACAACTTACTTTATTGAAATAATGCTAATAGGCAACTGTAGTTTGGAGTTAGGTAATGAAAACTAATTGGGAAATGTATTCATCTCCCACTATTTCTCACTGGAGCGTAAAAGACATACAACAAATGTTATTCATGACTCTACATGATTCGCTTGGATTCATCCCCTTCTTTCTAAGGGGCACTTCAGAGGAAATAAAGGTTACTCTTTTCCATTTATATCTTCTAATTGACTACTAGTATTTCCTTGTGGTCAGAGGGACAGAAAATAGAGTTAGAAACAGCCTATTAAAAACGAGCTACAATCAGGCTCCTGCTCCACTGCTGTCAGCAACGATCAGAGAGTTCTGATTTCCTTGTTAAAAGACAGAGGCATAATTGAAGCAGTATCTTCACTTCAGATTGATTATTCTGCAACCCTTATCCACATCTTCACTCAGCAATTTGAATTTTAATGAAAGTAAATGGAATAATTAGCATTTCAAAGTATGTTTGATACACCGAATAAAAAAAGGAAAAGACTTTTGTGTATAATCTATATACAAAAGAAAAAGTAATGGGGAGGGGACAGAATAAGGAAAGTACACTTGTTGTGTCTTCATTAGAATAACTTAAAAAACTGCTAGCATCAGCTGCATAATCATAAATGTGAATAATGTACTATTAAGTTATAACTCCTCATCTTAGTCTTAGCATCTTCAGTAGTTTGAACACTCAGAGTTGTCTTTTGCCTCTATCCCCAGTGCTAAGCACAGTGCCTGGCACAGAGCAGCAGCTTAATAAATTTTTACTGATTGACTGCTTTCACTTTTTCTGGAGGCCTATCCAAGCCACAGAATCTTAAAGGATTTTTATGTGACACTAAAACCAATGTTTAAAGTAAGTATTTCAGTAACTCAGTGAATAATTTATCAAACAGGTGGAGACATTTTCCCTTATCTTGGGGGAGGGGGAGAGTGTTACAAAAGCTAAATACTTATTTGAGAAATTCACCAAAAGTGAAACAATGCCTTTAAAGTTTTATATTATATATATATATATATATATATATATATATATATATATATATATATATATAATATATATTACTTTATATTGTATACATATATATTAATATATATTACTTTAAAGGCCCTGTATATCTCTCTGCATATGTCAGTTTAACAAGATTATAATCCATACTCTTCTGTATATTGGTTACAGAAGCTAATTTCACATGAAGTAAAAGTTCCTAAGAGTAGGGATCTGTTCTTGGGGGAGGAAAAGTATAAAAATATACATTTACTCTATTCACTTCATTGGTGAGAATGTGATCAAAAATTTCTGGTATAGCAATCAAATTTATGAGGTTTAAGTCAAACTACTTAATTTCACTTTACTGTCCACCACTTTTGCCCATCTAATGGAACCAAATTGAAAATGAGAGCTAATTACAAACACTATTAGAGCTAAAACAGAAAGACCACATACCCCAATGATTGCGTTCAGTTCTGCCATGGTCACTTGCTTGGCACGTTCCACAGCCTGCACCACTTGTTGCTGGTGCTATAAATGAAGATCAGAAACAGAATAAAATTATTTGTTTTCTAGTCAGTCAAGTACAGCTTTTTTTCCTATGATGTTTTCTAACTTAAATCACATGCAGGGCTCAAAATGAGGAGTCCCCTGGTTTCCAAAGTATGCACACAGGGAGGGGTGTGTTTATGTATGTAAATGTCTATGTGTCCACAAAGTTGAAAAGAAAAACATTCTCAGTATTTCTCTTTATAGTATGTTCTTCCTTTCCCCCAAAACCAGTTAATCTGTTACATATTAATAGAAGCTAATAATCAGATGTGTTTTGGACAAGTATGTGGTCTACACAAAAACAAAAAAGACTGCCCGCCTTCTCTCAAAAAATCAGGATGCTAATTCCATTAAAAAAAAAACTTTTCAGAAAAGAATGTTTTCTAGAAGTACTTCTGAGGAGAGATGTCCTCAATGTCTAAGAGTAGATATTGGATGGATGCACAGAAATGAAGTCACATTGCTTCTGAAAAGGATCATTTGATTACCATCCAGTTTTTCATATTTAAAAGAGACATGTATGATTTGTGACAGTGTAGCTTATATATTTTAGAGTAGAGTCATGTTTTATTTAAATATAGTTTTAAAAGTTAAAAATCTATAAGTACGAGAATGGGTTTTTTTATTAAAAAAAACTAACAAAAACTTTCTAAAGGGTATTAGTACTATGTAGCGCAGATAAATTCCTTTGTCCTTGATCTTGGACAAAGGAGAAAAAATTATAAACTACTTTGAGCAAGGACTCAAGTTAAAATTTTTGTAAATATGGCATAGAGGTGGCAAAATTTAGTGGTATGAAAGTCTGTGCATAGCGAGGGAAGTAGTTGCATATGTATATATAGTTATGTTTCATCAACAATTGCTCTAAAATATAAAACACATTTTCAAATTAATATGTACAATAAAATATTACCTTTTAAGTATATATAAAGTGTCACTTGGAATAAGGTATATATGGAGCCCATTCAAGGAAGTTTAATAAAGGACTGTGTCAACTTAGAGTTTAACCTATACTGTGATCTCATACTATGAATTCCAAGAACAGAAGAGCAAGGTTCCATTTTATTCTCTAACAGAAGTCCTAACTATAGTTTAACATACTATCATCATCGTGAGAAGGTGGTCATTTTCTGGCTAACAGGAAAGCTACAAAGAATTCTGGGATGAAACTCTCTCTTCTTAGAAATTAATCAGGCAAGTATCCAACTTCAATTATTTATTTCAAGTTGAATAGCTACTATATATACTTAAATCTGGACAACGTACATAATCCATCAATTATCCTGGTATAGATGACATTCTCCCTTTAGATTCCTGCCCATAACTCCACTAAATTTTACAATACATATTCATTCAGCTTAGGTAAAGAGACCACCATCCCTACTTCTCCTTCCTAAGAGAAAGGCAAATGCACATCCACAACTACTAGATGGAAACACAAAGTTCCAGTATGAGTTCTTCAACTTTAATATCTGTGTTTTCACCAGCATACTCTCTGGAGCTCACAGATTGGACTAGCTCCCTTGCCCAAGTACCACTTAATGGTTATTTTTTGGGCCCTCCAGGCTCAGAGTGAATATAAATGGTAACTGTTTCCCGCTTTGGTCAACAACCCTCTGAGGGTCTTCTCCTCCCAGTTTGATTTTTTTTTTATTAAAGGGGCCATTCCTAGACTCACTTCCTTTATTCACTGAATGGGCATTGTCTCACTCAAAGTGAGAGCCTGAAAAGACTTTAGATTAAAAGGGCTAAGGTCTCCCACACATCCTGAGCCTTCTCCAGCCTTCCTGATGAATATTTGGCCACTGGACACAGATGGCTCTAGAGGAGAAAGTGAGGCTGGTGACCTCACTCAAATCAAAGTCAATTGCAAGCCATGTCACCTTCTCCCTGATGTGACCAGGACAAACAGAACAACCTCAATTTGTAAAGGTCACAAGCCCCACCTTATTAGACAGCTCCATGAATTGCTAGGGTCAAAAACTGTTAATCACCTGATGGTCAACTTTCTGGTGATAAAGGCTCTCCAAACTTAGTAAGCCATTACTAAGTCCATAGTCAAAGTATCACCAGTTTTACAGGACTACCAGTGTTTAAGCCGCCTTAGCATAGCCTTCAAGTTGTCAATTTAAAATCTTAATCTTGAATCTTTTTGATCCATGTATCTTAACCTAGGAATTTTCCCTTCAAATCAAGGTCTTAAGAAAGCAACTCTGAAGACTAATACAACTGACCATAGCTTCTTTACTTTCCACCATTCTCCTATTTCCTAATGAAACCTGTGCTAACACAGAGCAAGGTAAGATGTGTTTCTCCTGAGGGGAAAAACACCACACCATTAAAACAGCTAAGAAACAGAAGATAGGGTAAGGAGATAGTCATATAAACTATAGGGGGCAGTACTGCTGAAGAATTCAACTGCCTTGAAACAAGAAATGACCACTGAAGACATTTGGAGCTAAAAACTAAAAAAGATCCAACCTATTTTTTTTAATACCATTTTACAATACCACTCCTATTTTATACCAAAGGTGATTTGAGACATCGGTATTATAAACAGCATTAAAACACATCAATAGAGAGACCGCCTCTGCCATGAAGCACACAAAGAGAACTCTATGGGTTCTGCTTCTCAAAACCAATGCCTCAGCCTACTTAGATTTCACTCTGGTATGGTAACATAGGAAGAAGAGAGGGATAAACCATAAAGTGGCACTCAAGCTACTAAAAGAAGTTTGCAAGAGATCAAACTAACAATGGAAGTCTTAAGTTCAGCTTCCTGCTGAAGGCAATGACCTATAGGCTAATGTAATATAACCCAAACTGGGCCTGTGGTTGAAAATTTCCTTCCTCATTGGCTATTTACAACTACTATTCACTGAATATATAGTATCATTGTACTCCAGAGTTGAAAGGGATCTCAGAAGTAATCTAGTTCAATCTTTACCCAAAACATCAATCTTTCTACAACCGGTGTTTTACTATAAACACTCATCTGTAAAATTTGCTGTGCCACTGGAGTTTTGAATGTAAGCTCTCAAGTGGAGAATATGTCTTCTTTATATTCTAAACAGGAGAGAAAACACACTTAAGAGTGATCACTCAGATACACAATAACATTCCACCAAAGACTACAGAGTTGTGAGGGGTAAAGAATAAAAATTACAACTCAAAACAAGAAGAAAAGAAACATAAGCTCATAGCAGATGGGGAAAAAAACTGTAGCTAAAAAGAACTTTAAAAAGGCTTACATAAATTTATACATGAAAATATCTTCCCCACCATTTTCTTTTCGTGGATTGCCCACAGTCAATTGAGCTTCTTTTCAAGATAAAAAAAAAATTCTCTAATGCAGAATTAGCAATTTCTTTTTTGCTTTTCCTTAAAACTAAGATTATTTCCTAATACATCAGTAGGTCCTTTTATGTTTATTCCTCCTTCTCCAAATGTTTCTCTCCTTCCACTTTGCCACATGCCCTATTTCCTCTCTGATGGCCTCCATTATCCAGTTTACCAGGCTGATGGCCTATTCAAAGAGCAGTCTCTGAAGCACAGGGTATTAGACACCATTCCTTACTACTCAGTTGCTCAGTCACATATGAACTCTTATTTACACTTCTACCAAGCATAACAGAGGGAAAACACAGTTGAGGGATGATAGCCACAGTCCAAACAAGGCCAGGGTAAAAAGGGTGACCTCTGAAAGGAACTTCTGAGAGAATCAAACATGCCCATTTATTGTTTTGTTTTTTCTCCCTGAATGAGATCATGAAACATACATTCTCCAGCATAAAGGAATTAGAAATGTAAGGCTAAGTGGCCAATAAAGTGATAGCCTAATGCAATTCAACAAACACTTAAAAGCTCCTACTATATGCCATCACTGTGCTAGGAGCTTGTATTCCACTGCTATAAGAAGTAATAAGTAAACAAAAGAGAGAGAGAGTTTAGGATTTGTTTCCTTTCCTCCCTCAATTCCTCCATCATTACTGCAGGGCAACTGAGGTTTAGGTTTTTCTCTACAAGCGTAGTATGGTGAAAAGTTCTCTAAGTTAAAAGAATCATGCACTGAACAAAACCGTAAAATTCAGTAATTTTTAAGCACCTATTAAGTACAAATTGTGGTATGCACTGGTGACACTGGTGCTTGCCTTCAAGCAACTTACAATCTAACGGGGGCATAAGACGTGTAGAAATAAGTATAATACAAAAAGGGGTCTAAATAGAGTATCCTTAGAAATAAATGAGAAGGGAAGAGATAACTTTGAGCTAAGAAACTGAGAGAAGACTCAGTGGAGGAAGTAGTATTGGAGCTAGACCTTGAAGGATCTCAATAAACAATGATGTAGACAGAATGCATCCCATGTATGGCAGATATCAAGCAGAAAAGGAAAAAAGAAACTGCTTAACAACTAGGCATATAGTTTAGTTGCAATGTGAAATTTATGAAAGAGTTGAATAAAAACAGCTAGAAAAGGTAAGTTGGAGTAAATTAAGGGGAGGAGACAAGAGGGGAAGGAGCTTCACTGCCCAACCTGAACTGGCCAGTTGGGTCCCCAGCTCGGACTACTCACAGGTTGTTGTTTATCTTTTGTTCTTGAAGAGGACCATGACATGCAAGTGAACTGGATTACAGTGAGGGAGGACTGTGCAAAGTCGCCAGCCTCACTTTCTCCTCCAGAGCCATCTGAGTCCAGTGGCAACATACAAATCAGGATGATTGGAGATGCTTCCCTCCCCATCAGAAAATACATATATAGAAAGGAAGACTACCTTTTGAAAACTTGGTTTTTATCCAAACTATGAGGAAATTTCATAAATGTGGACATAGTTCCAGGGCAACCATATGTGAGATATGCCTTCAATTCCTTTATAAGCCCCCTGTATGACCTAGCACATGGCCAAGCATACGCAGTAAGTATTCAAAGAGCCTTGTTGATTGATTTCTACCTACTCAGTCTTAATTTGCCAAAGGGAGCCACAAATCTTCATTCTCTCCCCATGATCTCTTCAAAAGTGAAATAACCTTAAATACACCAACTGCCAGATCAGTCAATTTCAAAATAAGCAGAATCTCTTAACAGCCTATAGCAGGGGTGGGGAACCTCAGGCCATATGTGGCCTTCTAGGTCCTTGGGTATAGCCTTTTGACTGAGTCCAAGTTTTACAAAACAAATCCTTTTATTAAGGGGATTTGTTCTATGAAGTTTGGATTCAAAGGGTTGCACTTGAAGACCTAGAGGGCCAAATGTGGCCTCAAGGCCACAGGTTCCCCACCCCTGGCCTATACCATGTACCTGTTGACTACAAAAGACACAAGCTACCATCTATGCCTCTGGCATAAAGATTACCAGCATACCCCATAAAGCAGCATTACCTCTTCTCTGAGATAACCAGAAGACTGGGAAACAGTGCATAGTAAGAACTTAATAAACATCTGGTGATTGGTTGATTTGACCACTCAGAAATCTTTTGACTGCTACAGCTGGTCACCACACAGCTCAGCACCAAACATTCAAGTTAAAGCAAAAAGTCTCATTAATGTATCAATTCAATGATAGTAAAAGGACATATAGCCTTATAGGGAGGGTAGGAAACTGTTTAAGACTAGTTGTTAATCTAAAGGTTGTTGGCACAAATTAGATTCCAAAACTTTCTTGAAAAAAAAAGTTGTTGATGGAAAGAAGCAGCAAACCCATGGAAGGACCCATTCTCATGTGCACATTTAAAAACTACTCAAGTGTATGGACAAAATATGACACACACAGCACTGCCTATAAAATGTCTAACACTTATGTGCTATGTGCTCCTTAACAGAGGTCCTTAATAAACATCATATGAATATCACTGGTGTTGGTGACAATACACTTATCAAGGGGGATCACTAGTGATTTCAACCAAAATCTCCTTTATCAAAATGTGTTGCCAGAAGCCATTGATTCCTTATAACAAATTCCTTAACAAGCAATAAGAGTAGACTTAACCTAATGCTATTCAGAGGCCACTGTGCTGCTAAAAGTGCATGGAACCACTGTACTTGTTCATTTTCCCCCTAAGGCACAATGTGAAAGTGACTGATCACATTTTTCAGCTTCCATTTTGCAATTACACTATACATGGCAAAGTATAGTTCAGAGCAATTTGATACTGTATTAACCTAGATTTTCAAATAAATAGTGTTTTAGGAGGCAATGGTATTTCGTAAACCACAAAAAATCCATCATCCATTATGGGAGGAAACAAATTTATGATATTGAAAACAAAAAGCCCCATATCTTTCAAGTATCTGCACTAACAAACAAATAAATAAATAGATAGTCAATATAAATATATATATACATATATATATGTATACATATATCTTGCCTCAAAACGATCTCTTTAAGTAGGTATTAACCCCATTTTACAGGTGAAGAAACTGAGACTCATTAAGGTTAAATGACTTGCTCATGGTCACACAGCTAGAGGCAAAGCAGGAACCTAGTTAAAGATGACTCAAGTCCAGTATTCCATCCACCATGCCACTTTCTTTCAACACACTACCATACTACTAAATACATATAACCAGTTAAATACTATACAGTTAACTACTTTTTCCCCCATGTTTTCAAAACAGGAATGGCCAGATTACCAACTTGAAGAATTCTAGAAAGAGACACGATACTTGTTAGGAAAAAAAAAATGATGCCATACTAAAAGCCATTATCTCTAATCAAGACTAAATCTGCACATTTGATAAGACTGGCTTGGACTTTTTTTCCCCTTCTCACCTTGTCTTTCTACCTTCAGAACATCTCTTATGTACATCCTCTTCTCTACCCTCATACAACTGCCATTCTAGCAAAGGCTCTCATCCCCTCACACCTGGATTACTGAAATAGCCTTCTGGTTGGTCACCTGATATCAAACCACTCTCCACTTCCCTCCAACCTCCCCTCACCCCCAATTAACTCCAGTGGCTCCCTATTGCCTCCTGGATCAAATATAAAATCCTCTGTTTGGCTTCTGAAGCCCTTCACAAACTAGTTCCTTCTTATCTTTCTGGTGTTCTTCCACCTTACTCCCTTTTTCCAGGTACTCTGCCATCTAGTTACATTTGCCTATCTGTGGTTCCTCCCACTAAACACTACATCTCCCTACTCCATGCCTTATCACTGGCTGGCCCCTATACCTGGAATGCTTTCCATATTCATCTCATTCTAATAAAATTCTATTGTGCCATAAGAAATAATTAGGAAGAAGGTTTCAGAGAAACCTGAGAAGACTTGTATGAACTGATGCAGAATGAAGTAAGCAGAA